ATTATTGGTGACACTTTGGTGGTAGGGCAAGTTCTGCAGTTGATTATGGAGGAAGGACCTCGTTCTGGGTTATGTCTTAATGTGGAAAAAACTGAAGTTTTCTGGCCTACAGAAGACCCTCGAAGCAGGCTGGTGGGTGTCTTTCCACCTAATATTGCTCGACCTTTGCGTGGTGTTGGGTTACTTGGAGGTCCCGCTAGTTCCGATTCTGGTTTTAGTGGTGAGCTTGTGATGCAGAGGATGACCAAGACCATTGCCCTTATGGATAAGGTCGCTATGCTCGATGATCCTCAGTGTGAGCTGTTGTTACTTAGGGCATGTACTGGAGTTTCAAAACTCTACTTTGCATTACGTACTTGTCCTCCTATTTGAGGTGGCTCAGCGCACTTTTGATACTGCTCTTCGATCTTCCTTGGAGCGTATTGTTACTGCTTCGGGGCCTGGGTTTGGTGATTGGCAGTGGAGACTTGCCACCTTACCATTTGCGTTTGGAGGGCTTGGTGTTTATTCTACAGGTGATGTTCGTCACTATGCTTTTCTTGCTTCTCGGTTACAGTCAGCTGGGTTGCAGACACAACTTCTTCGGCATGCTGGCATTGTTGGTCTTGGACGAGCCTTTGAGGGTGCGTTGAGTCTGTTTAATGGAAAAGTGGAGTCTGACATTTTGAGTAATCCTACTGAGGTTGCTGCCCCTAAACTCATGAAGAAATTGGCAGATATATATTTCACAAAGGTTACCGCTTCTGCAGAATCTGCTTATTCTTTAACTCCTCGACAATCAGCATTATGGAAATCACAGCAGGGTGATCACACCTCTACTTGGCTTCGGGCGGTTCCTATTTCAGGGTTGGGTCAGACGATGAACGCCAAGACTTATCGCTGTGTGTTGTCCTATCGGTTGGGTGTTCCATTGTTCTCTATCTCGACGTTGTGCTCTGCTTGTTCGAGGGTTTTTACTGGAGATATTTTTGGTGATCATGCGGTGTCTTGTGCTGGTATTGTGGGTATTAAACATCGGCATAATGTTGTTCGGGATACCCTTGTTGATGTTTACTATCGTTCTGGGATTTCAGCGAGAAAAGAGGTTGACATTGGGTTGGTTGGAGGGAACGACGAGGCCCTCAGACCCGCGGATGTGTTACTTTATTCATGGGATTGTGGTCGCGATGTCTGTGTTGATTTGACAGGGTCTTCTCCTTTGACACAGTCAAGGCTATTTGACTTCATTCCTGGGCGGGTTGTGGCTGATGCAGCTCATCGGAAGCGGGTTAAGTATGAGGCTAGATGTGAGGCGATTGGATATGGTTTCATTCCCTTCTCCTTTTCTTCGCTTGGGGAATTAGAGAAAGAGGTTGTTGCGTTTCTGAAGCGAATTCAGAGGTTCTCAACAACGCAAGACATTGGGGCTCGTGCTGCAGCTCATATCTTCACTAGGGTAGGATTTTGCAATAGCTAGAGGAGTGGGGGGCCAGATTGTATCTCGGCTTCCCACTAATTTATTGTAGGTTGTATGACTTTTGTTTTTGAGATATAATAATAATAATAATAATAATAATAATAATAATAATAATAATAATAATAATAATAATAATAATAATAATAATAATAATAATAATAATAATAATAATAATAATAATAATAATAATAATAATAATAATAATAATAATAATAATAATAATAATAATAATAATAATAATAATAATAATAATAATAATAATAATAATAATAATAATAATAATAATAATAATAATAATAATAATAAGAAGAAGAAGAAGAAGAAGAAGAAGAAGAAGAAAATAAAAAAAATAAAAAAAACATTTTTTTATTAAAAAAAAAAGGCGCCGGAATCCGGCCACTTTTGGCCGGGAATTTCTTGTATGGTGCTAAGTGCACCCATGCTAATACTTTAGGGTGCTTTGACTATTTTTCTTAGTTTAGGGTGCTGAGTGCACCCAAGCCAAAGTTCAGAGTGTTGAGGCCAATTTTGCCTAAAATTTATATATAAAATAAATTTACATTGAGGATTCTGAATTAAAGGCATGGATATATGCAGGAATCTTTGTGTAATATGATATGTTAAAAAGCTAAAAGCCCCTCTGTTTTAGTAAAAAATCAGGATTCTGAATTGATATGACTGATTTCACCAAAAAGCAGATCAAGTCCATTGCATATTGTACAATAATGAGAAATGTGTATATCATACTCCTTGAAGATTTCACAATAAATTTTTTGTATTAGAAAATTAAACCTGTGTACTAGTATATAAAATTATAAGGGTGACATAACCCAAAGATTTAAAATAATCCTTGGGTTATGTCACCCTTATAATTTTATATACTAGTATATAAAATTGCAGACAGAGTCATAACCCAAAGATTTAAAACAATCCTTCACCCTTTTTTTTTGTAGTTGTGAATAACTTTTTCATTCTTTGTAGGAATCAGAGTGTTCGGTTCTACCCCATAAAAGGATCCGGTTCACAACCGGATCCTTTGCTTATTTTTTCAAAGGCCACGTCTCCAAAGGATCCGGTTGAAAACCGGATCCTATACCCCCCTAAAAATCGGATCCTAATTAGGGGGGTTTTTGTACTAATGATTTATCAAAATATCAATTATTTCTTGTTTTAAAGCCTTATTTATTTCTTTGGATGTTATGAGAGTTAATTTTTATCAACTAGTAACCCCCTTTTTTATGAGCTTTTAATGGTGGTTATTCTTGTAACATATATTCAGTTACAAGTTAATATGGAAAGTCTGAACAATTGAGCCGGGCACAAGCACAAATCTTTGGGTCAGTGCAGCTTCCATAACAGTCACATCCACTGGTAGGCAAAGGAATCTTCACATTGTTCGCAACTTGGATAGATTTGCAGTACTTAAAACCTATAATTTGCCATTCCAATTGAATATAAGAAAGCTGAATACAAAAAATTTGAATCCCATGGATGTATTTTTTAAAACGTTATACCTCAATATTCACTTTATAGGGTTTGTATTTGGGGACTATAGAGTACTTGAAACGGCACACACTCACATTGTTACATTTTTAAACATAATAATAATAAAATTAAAAAAGCACTCTGACCCGACGGGTTAACCCGACCCGACCCGACCCAAATTTGACATGCCAATTTTCGGGTTAAATGGGTTGGGGTCAAAATGGGTTTCGAGTTGAAAAATTGTTGTCAAAACCAAAAAAACGGGTCGGGTTTTGGTTGGGTCAACGGGTTAGGTCAAATTTTGACAGGTCTAACTACAACACGAAGCAAATCGTATTGCGGGGTAAGCAGGTCAGGGGTTCGAAACCCTTGTAGCTGTTGCGTTTTATGAATGATTAATAAGTAAAGTTTTTTTAAAAAAAAGCCATAAGCAATTTCCCTCTCCTCACCTCATTGCTCGACATTCTCACTTCTCATATCATTCTTCTTTTCCCCATTATTCTCTCAATTTTGCCAAAAACTTCAATCCAAATCGCCACAAATCTTCACATACTTACGTTTGGAGCACTCCTCTTTGATTGTGTGGCAATTCTAGGGTAAGTCATTAGTTTAAATTGCATTTCGATTGGAATATTCTAGGGTTTGAATTTTAAAATCAAATTGGGGTTTTGCTTGTAGTTTGTTTTTGCTCAATATTTTTGCGTGATTATGCTCTATGATGCATGTGGATTATGTATATTGATATTTAAGTATGTTTAAGCTTATTTATCTTGGATTAGATTGCTTAAATAAGTCGAGATTCCCTCCATTTGTGCGAAAATCTGTTCGAAATTATGGAGGAATTTTTCTTGAATTTTTTCTTAAATTTTGGCTTAGTTTTGATGCATTAGTGTTGGTGAATTGATCTTGGTAGTTTAAGCTTGGAATTTTGGCATGATTTATTGCTCAGTTGTGCTTAGAGAAAGGTTTGAAAACTGCCTGTTTTTGCCATAATTTCGCTCAATCTTGCTTGTTTATTGTTGTCAAAACATGCTTGAATTTTCTCACATATGTATGACAATTTGGCTTAAACTTGAGAAAAGTTATTAATGGTTGGAACCATGGTTTTCATTGCAATGATTTATGATAGTATTAAAACATTATTCTTTTGCCAAACTTACAATGTAATATGCTTAGGGAGTTGTCTTGGCCGAGTTATCTTGATACCTTGAGTTTGTTTCCATTGCAAGCTAACCTTAGAACATTATTCTTGATTGTATATGTATAAATTGTGCAAAGTGGTTATCTTGAATTTATTAAGGATTTGTGTTTGTAATATTTTAGAGGAAAAATACACCTAAATAAAGCTAAGGCTTTGACGGTTCAATTCAATGAATTCATTGGTACAATATTATGTGACTCAATCTGTAATAAGAAAACAAAGTTGTTAGAATAGTCCCTTGTTATTATTATCATGAAGAATAAAAGCATTTTGTTTTATTCATATTGGATTAATTTTGTTTATGTTTGCTTGGTATCCTACTCTTTTCATACATGGTTTTTTATGGGTGGGGGTGTGGGTTTGGCAATGTTGCCCTAAGGTCCTTTTATCTCTCTCTTATTCATTGGTCAATGTATTTTGTTCTTGTGTGTTCTGCTGTTGTTTTTCGATCTGTTTCTACTGTTGTTCTATTACTGTTATTGTTGTTGCTCTGTTCTGTTGTTGTTGTTGTTGTTGTTATTGTTGTTGTTGTTGTCGTCGTCGTTGTTGTTATTTCCCTCCTCTTCAACTGTGCATTTGGCATTAGTAGTAGCAGCAATAGATTTGGTGAGAAGTGCTTTTGCATCTGCAACTGGGAGGGACATTTACACTGTAAGTTTTTACTTGTCAATTTTATATTATTTTCTTCGGAAAATTCTGAAGTGCCTTGTGTTTCGTTCTTGTGGGAGATGACTCTCGAAATGCTTTAAGACTATTTTTCCTTGAATAAGATCATGTGATTGATGTAAAATGTGAGCATATATGGCTATTGTAGTACACCCAGTTTTTTTTTTTTATGCAAACAGGAAAAAGCATAAATTAATTAGTGTTTACAAGCTCTTTTAGGTACAGCTCTTCAAGAAGTCCTGAAGGACTCACAATACAAGCAGTATATTCATTTACATTGATAGTAGAATTGTGCCTACATGATTTTGCCATTGCATCCGCCACTACATTGGTGTTTCTGCTCCCATATTCAACTTTCAGCCTCATGTTTCTCCTAAGCAGCTCCCTGCATGTTCTTATCAAACCAGACAGCTCACTATCATAGTGTACATCATATGCGATTAGGTGAATAGCCACTTTACAATCAGAGGAGATCATGACATTAGACCAATTCTTATCCATAATTAAACTTAGTCCCTCCCAAAGAGCCCATAGTTCAGCAGACATTGCAGAATTTGCCCATCTCTTGCATTGACCACCCATTATCCATTCCCCTCTTGAATTCCTAACCACCATAGCAATCCCAGCAGGAGAGATCCTATCTTTGAAAGAAGCATCAACATTCATTTTATACCAATTTTCATAAGGTGGATCCCACATTTGGTTTGGGTTCCCAAGTAAGTTGGCTATTGGTTGTGCTGCCTTAAACTCCATAGCTAGCCTCTTCGCTTCATTAGCTATTACTCTAGTAGTACACCTAGTTAGGGTTTATAATTCACTAATTTGGATTTGCTATAGTTAGGATCTAAGTTCACCGGTTAGTATTATGCTATGAATTGTCGATCTCATTATGCTTTTTGTTGCCTTTATGATTATTCCTTTTCCCTTTCTCCTGATATTGATGCTTATACTAAACTTCACATTACTTGAAATTATCTTTATAAGAGTAGCATCATGTCTAAATTAAACCAGCGCGAGAGCATAATAGCAGCCCTTGGGGATCTCCACATTGTGCGTTATCTGTGTGTATTTGGTTTAATGATGCTAAATCTAGGTCATTATACTCAATATAGTGTTGGAATTTGTATACAAGTGGATCAGCCCAAAAGCATGCTAGCAGCTCTTCTAGAACTCCCAAGAGTGTGTTTTCTATCTATATCTGGTTTAATGATGCATAATCTAGGTCATTATACTCATCAAAGTTGTGGAATTTGTATACAGGGGGGCATAAAGTCTATGTTGTTTAGGAGGGCAGAAATCCTAGAATCTATTATTCGTGGAAAGAATGTAATGAACAAGTCCAAGGATTCAGCAACAATTGCTATAAAGGGTATGATTCATATGAAGAAGCACTAGCTGCTTATGAGAGCTCGTATGATTCTGATGTAAGTTTTTGCCGTCCTTTTTTTTTGAAATTTCATAAATTTCAATTTCTTTTACGGAGTATAACTGATCGCTTGTATGCAATTTTTTTGTTTAGTTACGTGATGCAGCCCCTAAGTGCCAAAATTGCGACTTGTTAATGCTAAGAGTTAAAATCTTGGAAGCTAAAGTTGCATCATTATATGAGCAGCGTGTTATTACCTCATCACCCAAGAAGAAATTAGTTTATGATCACCTTGCCGAGTTGAGTGAACTGATTGAAAAAAAAAAAAGCAGTATTGGATCACTAGTGACTGGTAAGTATATGATTGGGTAAAAGTATATATGAACAAAGATTTGATCTTTATTCCAATTTCTAATTCATTTGCAATTGTTCTATTTTTGGGTGGCACTCACTCGCAATGCATGCGGAATCAGAAGAGTGATATTGATTTTGAAGATGGAGCAGGCTGATGTGCTGCTGTTCGGGTCTGTTTTTGCTTGATTGGGCTCGTTAATTAATCTTTTTTTAGCTTAGATGATTATGTGGGTTTTGTGTAGAAAAGCTTGTGCCTTTTGAATGTAAATTTTTCTAATTATCAGTATGGTAGTATGTAGTGTGGAATAATGTTGAAGAATTGCTTGAATATTATTTTGATTGTGAAGTTCGCGTAAGATTGTAGTCATGAGCTACGGTAATAAACGGGTTATATACCCCTGACCTGAACTCGACCTATTTAACTAAATGGGTCAAGAGCCTTGACTTGAACCTTACCCAACAATAAACCTTGACTTGAACCCGACCTGTTTAACCAAATAAGCTAACTTTCTTCTCAACAGAGAAAACACATTAGGCCAAATTATGCTCCAATATTTTTTATTTTTGATACTAAATCAAAAGTTCAGAATCATAAACAAACACAAGTCTAACAACAGTTATAATACTAAAATAACAAGTCTACAAGTCTAAAAAACACAATATTGTTTACAACATAAATCTCAACAAACACGATAAAGTCCAATCTGAACAACAAATTAAACAGAAGTTCTAAACAATTAAGGATCAAAGTGAGTAGTAGCAGCATAGTTTCCAATAGCGGCAGCAACATAGGTTCCATCATAGCAAATTCGAGAGTCTACCATAGCCTCTTCCACGGGTTCAACCTCTTCCACGACTATGAGAGGGTGTGGTTCAGTACAAATCATTGCTGCTGCCTATATCACAAACTTAATATCAGAATTCAATTCGCAAATAACCATTTGATGATTTGAACAATTTGACAATAACTAATACTCCAGAAGGTATTTTTATGTATCAAGGTATAACAATATGTTTGCTTTCAGTTGTCCTAGGACATAGTAATTATGTATACCTTCAAGAAAGCAAACATTTTGTTATACAAACTTGATAGTAATTAAAAGGATACTAATACTCCAGAAGATGAAACCCAACAACAGGCACCACTCAACAAACAGAAATCTAAAGAAAACACTATGTTTCTCAAAGAAAAAAAGCTAACCCACTACACAACAAATAGAACGCATAACAAATAAGTAAAAACACTCTATTGTATCTTTGTTAAGCAACCAATCAAACAAACAGGATTGATCACACAAGTAAGATGGTATTATTATCCCTCAAAACATAATCACTTTAAAGGATATTTCACACCAAGCAAAAGCATACACTGAATATATTACAATGATCACCTACTTAAAAAAAATATCAAAAACAACAAAATCATATTATTCATAAAAACTTAGATGGTCAGAGTAATTTATGAGTTTAAAATCAAATAATTGTAGAAAAGTTCAAGTTAATGTATGGCTCTCAAGTTCACTAACACAAATTAAAGCAAGAAATTAAAAAACTGATCAATGATCACTATACTCTTGAGCGGTTCAGAAGAAAGCAACAATATTCAAAACTAGAGATGATAATATATAATAAACTTGACTCAAGAGCCACATATGTAAGATCATTAAAATATAGCACAAACGCCAGCATATGTTTCCATCTTTGCAAAATAATGCCTAGCATAACAGAACCATAATAGAATTCAACAACGCACAAAGCTTCAAACAAGAAAGGGGGATAGAAACCACATAAACTGATTAGAGTACTCACCTTCTGCAAATATTTGACTAATCTAAAAGGCATTAGTCCTATTATTCATTATTCAAAATAAGCAGTAAAAAATTATCCCAATTTATTAGAAGAAACCACCCAGCACATTAAAAGCGATTTAAAACTGCTAAAGTAAATACCTTCACTTTTGTGGCAATACCAGAATTCAAGCAGCAATGCATCATCTTAGCTAATTTTGCATCATCGTAATGCCCTCCAGCAACCTTCCAATATAAGCCTGCATTATCTCGTATTCTTGTCAACAAGAGTCCACTCAAACAGGCACAAGACATATAGAAAAAGACATAACAAGCAAGATTCAATCACAATGCAATAGTTATTCAAGTATTGCCCCTCAAAACATAACGCTCCCACTAATGCTAGTTGGGGATGGAAAATGCTTTTTAGGGTAAAGGAAAGTCTGAGGAGTATTCGAAAAATGGAGTACAATTTAAGAAGTTTAAATGAAAATATGAATGTAGGCATGTAGCCTTGGGTGGCTTTTCTACCAATTTTTATCTTTATGTTGGGAAATACTTCGTACTTGTAGGAAAGAGTGTAGAGAAGAAACCATAAAAAAATTATTGATAAGAGGAAAGAGTGAAGATAAAACACCAACAGAGAACAAAAGCAAAGTTAACAATATTATGTGACTCAATATTTTACCAATGAATTCATTGAATTTGTACCAATGAATTCATTAAATTTTTTTGGTTTTGATGTTGTATTTGATGTTTTATTGACAGGAAATTTGCTGGACACCCTAGCCAATTGGGTGCTTCCAGATGAGCTGAAAGAAGATAAATGGTTCGTTACACGACTTGGCCCGATATTTTGTAACAACTTTGTGGTTCATCATAAACCACATCTTGTTACAAAACAATTTGGAGGCTACGAACTCGACCCAGTCATGCATAGGGACAAGCTCACTATATTTAATCATCGTGTATGATTTGTGGATAATCGTGGCTTTAACAGGCACGATTATTTTGAGTCGTATAAGCGGGAGCTTATATTGTGGGATAAAAAAATGTGTGTTTATGAATTCCATGATGACAATCCTTCTCCTTCTCCTTGTCCTTCTCCTCCTCGTCGTCAACGTCAACGTCGGGATTATTCACAGGCGGGGGGTCCTCGGAGAAGCTCTCGTGAACGACGTCCGAAAGTTTTGTTCACACCCAGCCAGTGAGCTGTTTTTTTTTAAAGAACTTATATAGTTGTAAAACCATTTGGTTCTTCTGTTTTTTTTTTAATTTTAAGTTCAATATGATACAAATATTTTTATATTATACATTATTTCATGTTAGCCATTCAAAATGGGCATTAAATAGTCATTTTTCTTATATTTAATTTTTATTTTTTCTCATAATATAATAAAAACTATTAAAAAGTATAGAAAAATTGAAAATGGGTCCAAACTGGCCTGGTCCATGTTTTTGGACCGGTTTAATAAAATAAAGATTAATAATAATAAAAAAAGCTTACATGTCACATTATTTTATGATATAAACTTGGACCCTGATTGATTTTTTACCAGAGCTGTATTGACTTGGACCCTGATATGAAAGATGAAACCAATCGGATGGTGTTAAAGACAAATCTCAAGCCCAAATTCATGTTCCTTATAAAAAGTAAAATCCATAAGCTTTTGCTTCCGTAGGATCTTTTACTTGTCTCTGCTGGATACAGATTAGATCTTTGAGTTTTCGATGAACGTCTTCAAACATGATCAGGAAATGTGGAGAGTTAATTTTTCCTTCAACCATTTCAATGTTTGCACTTTGCACTTGGACTTGTTCAACTCTTCCTTTATATCTTGTTGCTTCATAAATTCTTCTAAACACATACTTCTGGAATTTCGTGAGCTTCTCAAAGAACGTAGTCAATCTTATTCATCTACATAAATATATATACATATATCAATATGTGTTTACTTGGCATATACTATTAAGTTTGAATATATAAGTCAATCTCCGAAAGCCCTTTCCTTCCTTCGTCGAGCCTTTCCCTTAATGGTTAGAGAAAGCATTCTCCTATCTGAACTTGGCAGGCTTCCAGCCTTACTCAAATAGGGAGTGGGTTTGGTTTGAACATAGGCTCAAACATGATTTGAAGGGTCCTAGTATATACATACATATATATACATGTACATGCATATATACATACATATATATACATATATATACATGTACATGCATATATATACATACTATCTTAAAAAACA